CGGAAGCCGAAAACCGTTCGGAGAAATAAAGATCGGCACTATTTCTCCGAACGTTCGGAGAAATAGTCACTTCGAAAAAAAAAAGATATTATAACACAAAAGTAAAACTTATTTGGCGTTCTACAAAGATGCTACGGCTATTTCACTTTACGAATCGAGCCGAACTACCCTGTTCGACATTTTGTTTTGCCCAAAAGTTCTTGTTATATCTAGGCTACTCACTCCCCTCTCTCTCTCTCTCTCTCTCTCTCTCTCTCTCTCTCTCTCTCTCTCTCTCTCTCTCTCTCTCTCTCTCTCCCTCTACCTCTCTCTCCCTCTACCTCTCTCCCTCTCTACCTCTCTCCCTCTCTACCTCTCTCTCCCTCTACCTCTCTCTCCCTCCCTCCCTCTCTCTCTCTCTCTCTCTCTCTCTCTTTCTCAAAGCCCGCAGATAAAATTGCACGTTTTCAACACAAGAGGACTGGAACATTTGTTTACACCACAGAATTCCATTTAAAAAAGAGTAGATCTAGAGTTTACACTGGGTATCGCGGTAAACGCACACCGGTTAGAATAGCCAAAAGGCTCGCTCTCTCACCCCAGGTGAGTGAGAAGCTTAAGCTAGAATAGAGGTGGCCTATATAATAATATCTTATCTTATTTTTATTTTAAAAAAAATAATTTTCTGTTGCAACAGTAAGAATAAAATGTACACAGACTGTAAACCTCAGACAATGCACTTCATTAAAAAATGACGTTTGATTGGTCATCGTGGGTTTTTAACAGTGGTTTCCTTTTTGCTTTTTTCTGTAGTTTTTTTCCGGTTTTTCCTTTTTGGGGCGGTGTTTTTGTTTGTTTTTCCTTCAGTTTTTAAAGATTGCTTATTAGAATTTATCTTTTATCAATTCTTAATTAAAAAAAAAAACACATTTTTCTCCTTTTCTTCTTTTTTCCCCCTACAGACTCGAGTCCTTACTCGAGTCCCTACTCGAGTAATTTACTTGTGACTCGAGTCTGGACTCGCCGTATGTATTACTCGAGTACTCGAGTCTGGACTCGTTACTCGCACACCTCTAGTGCTAACTTTCATTCTGCCTTTACACCGCATGGCAAGCCCGCCTTCAGACAACTTTCAGTTACACCCACCACACACCCACCACGATCATGCACATATGTACACACACAAACTTATACACACACTAACTAAACATGATCAGTGGGCAACTTCTGAATATATGAGAGCTGAGCTGTGGATGGAGAGACAGTGTGAGTGACAGAGCAGGTGAAAGGAAGAATGTACGAGTGTATCCACAGGCGACAGCAACTACAAGGCGACGACACCGACCCCCCAGGCCTGGTCCACAGCTCACGAACGAAAGGAATGTGGCTAAGGCAGTAGGCAATGTTTTGCTAATATTATTGTCCATGGTTCGCAGGGTGCTAGGGAATGAGTGAGATTTTCTTTGTGTGTGCCTGGAGGGAGGGGGTGGGGTGTGAAAGTCATGCGGACGAGGATGAGCCGCGGGAGAGAACACGGGAATTCAATGAATGAGTGAACGACTCATGAGCCCTGGAGTGAATGGATCCTGTGTTTCTATTTTTGTATACTTTGAACTGTTACTGAATAAAGGCTGAAGTAAAACCCGAAAAACAAACACACTCACGCTCCTCACTCTACACTTAAACAATTTAAAATACTACAGTCCATGTCGGCTATAAGCACGGTCATCGGGAGAAAGCTTAAGCGTGCTTAAAGTCGAAGCGTGCTTAAGTGCGAAGTAGACATAATCCAGAGATTTTCATGCAGAAAATTCTCCGTGTTATTTCCCTTTGTTTGTAAGTAGGCCTATTCGGTCCCCCAAAAGTGTGCACTGTTATTTAGACACCCGCCAAGGTAGTTTTTGTTTGCTTGTTAGTTGTTTTGTGGTCGAATGGGAAATGAAAACTTAATTTAGACGGCCAGTCACGACACAGCACACTAGGCCTACTGTAACACACTGCCTGTGCGTACCACTGCCCGCTGTGCCACTCATACCACCGCCTTCATCCCACTTCGCGCGTGATACACAGTCAGGATTAATGGATGGCGAGGGTCAAAGGTGAAATCGCAGCCAGCCTTCCTTTCTCGTCTCCCCGACTCTCTTTGTATTTTTTTTTGGGTCGTGTGTAGCTTTGCCCTAGGCCAAGGCTAGATCCTAAATCCTATGTTCGCGCGCGCCGCAGTGTGCAGTGTGCATCTCTCTGCCTTCCTCTCCGTCCGTGTGAGTGTGTGTGTCCATCACTTGTGTTCTTTGTATTTCTCTTGACACACTCCACTGCTGCGGTGTAGACTGTGTTCAAACTTCGATGGTTCATCATGAAAATATTGACTGTCTTGTAAATGAAGCGTGCTTGAAGCCGAAGTTACCGTGCTTAAAGGCGTGAGATTTATGTAGCAAAAATTCGGTAAGAGCCGTTTAGCGTGCTTAAGTCCGAAACGTGCTTAAGGCCGGCGTGCTTAAAGCCGGCACGGACTGTACCACACACAGACACACGCACATGCATTTC